CAGCTACAGGCTTTTTGGGTGTTTTGTTAAAACACGGTGCGTTTGTTTCCTATTATTTTTGGGAGCTACAGGTAAAGTCTTGACGAGTCTGTCGCGGGTCTGGGGGAGTTTCAGCCCCCACCCCTTCTCCTCCTCTCTCTGTGTCTCCCCGCAGAGAAGTTCAGGCTCTAGTGCTCCGACACTGCAGCAGCCGCGTTCTGTTTTGAAAGGTTTCTTTAGTTTGTTATTGCTACGAGCTCTCATGCTAAAGTGAGAGTTCACTCCTCCCGACACTAAGAAAACAGGAGGTGGGGAGTCAGCTGAGCCCCTGTGTAGCGGAGCACAGAGAGGGAGAGAGACGAAGTAAACCAACAAGCAGGAAAATTAAACTTATAGTCCTCATTTTTTTACCGACCTCAAAAAAATTAATCGTGCAATTAATTGATTTATTGACTATTGCGACATGCCTACTTGAACGTGTGAAGTCTGTAGAACATTGTAAAACAGTTCTGTTAACAAAGAAGAGTAATGAAGCACAATGTACTGTTTGAAACACCGGCCCTGTATTTGTTAGTCAATCATTTTGTTGTCATTGGTCAGCTGCCTCACAGGGACAAGTAAGAACCTGTGGGGCTCTGTGGAAAAACCTCCGTCTCCAGATGAGATTTCATTCTCATGTTTTAATCTGTAGTCAGGTGGAATCATGGTAAAAAAGTAAAGAAATGCAGTTGTRTGTTAACTGCATCATGAGTAATCATAAATGAGTGTGTTTTCTAATCAATGTATTTCAGAGCTGAAGTGATTGGTTGATTAGTCTATTGTAAGTCAGCTGAATGCCCTGAAATCACAAACACTACATGTGAAGCTTTAATGATATGAGGCACCACTTTACAACCAGTGGAGTGATCTTCTCCTTTTGACACAAACACAGAATGTTTTTGTTGTCTTCTTCTGTTTGTTGTCTTCCTGATTCASTGTGAGGATTTGGTCCTGTTCCGCAGACTTAAAACTTTACCTGAGACAGACTAAACTTGATATTTTATTAGAACCACTCACTTCTGTAACATGAGATACAGATGGGTTGTAAATATGCACTACATCTTTAAAAATTACACATGCATACTTGTCATAAGTGACTTGTTCAAATGAAACAGGATTCCTGAAAAGGACTCAAATACTTGTTGTAGAACATAAATCTGTCTTTATTCACATTTTAACTAGGTGATGATTTCAGCCTCAGACACTGTTTTTCTCACCCTTGGTCTCCCTCTTGTGTCCCACAGGGTCCGGTGCTGATTGGTAGCTCACAGGGGGGCGTGAACATTGAAGATGTGGCGGCAGAAAATCCAGATGCCATCGTGAAAGAGCCCATCGACATCATGGAGGGCATTAAGAAGGAACAGGCTGTCAAGGTACGATCAGTATCACACAGAACGAGTCACAGACCACTATGTTTCAGAGATTATGTTTTCATATGTTTAATGTCTAAAACAAATTTAGATCATACAGCCTTTTTAAAAGGTCCTAAAATATCTCGAACCTTTTGAAACCCTGTAACAATGCAGCAGGACTGGTAACCTTATCTACAACCACAATTCCAATGAAGTTGKGACATTATGTAAAACATAAATATAAACAGAGTACAATGATTTACARWTCCTTTTCAASTCATTCAATTGAATACACTACAAMCCCTGGCAAAAAGYATGGAATCACGAGTCTTGGATGAGCACTCATTCAGACATTTCATTCTGTAAAACAAACTCAGATCAAAAACATGATACAATAATAAGGTCATTCCAAA